CTATTATCCTGCTAATGGGAGAGTACATTGGTATCCTACTAATGGGATCGTACATTGGTACTTTTGTTATGCTACTAGTTGGGATAGTACATTGGCCATGACTTATTGAGGGGATCAATATATAAATTTCAGTATGCATAAATGATTTACAATTAAGGTTTTCTTCCTGCTTAAAATTAAAATGTCTACTGGGTATGCTTTAAATTTCAAAAAGGGCATCCATATTTTTACTTACCGAGTTATCTCACATAATTTTTCCTTGTTCACCATTTCAGGTAGTGAGATACAAGACAGGGAACCAAGGGGAGTGACAAAGGCTAGCCACTTGTATATTGGATATAGATTTTTGAGATATAAATCATTTTTTTGTAGGCTAGGTCCCCTTGGAGATAGTTATGACTTTATTAATGGAGTTGTAAAATTTTTGTACACTATTGGCTTAGTCAAACTTTGGTTACTAAAAGCTAGATTTTACTTGATATTTTGGATCTAGGTTTATGTGGATTGCTAGTTATGAATTAAGCAAGTTTTGAGCCTTGTGCATTTGTGGAAGTTTCTTACAAGTGTATGGTGTTTATTTCGCTCCCATTTTTGGGGCATGGTAGGTGCTGCCCTATTTCCTCAAAAATCTTTAAATGGCCTCACATGTGTGAAATTTGGATGTGAGTGTGACACTTACTTTGTTAAAAGTAAAAAAGAAGGATTTTCCCAACAACCCTTCCTCATGATCAACCTCCTTGCGGATGGCGGGAAGAATGTTAGTTTAAAATTAAAATTTGTGCCTAAAGATAGTTTGCAAGAGGGAGGGATGCCTTCCTACAAAATGAGTTACTAAATTTGCCTTGGACAACTTTAAGGACTTAAACTCTACCTTGAATTAAGGTTAACAGATCTTAAACGAACTCAATAGCATGCAAATTAAAGTAAATTCACAAATAAAAAATGCATCCAAATTAAATTAAGCATGTTCATTGTTAGATTAAACCACTATCTACAGACAGATTTGAAAATTAAACTATTGTAGAATTAGAGATCTAATTCAAAATTACACTAAAATAAACTCGAACAGAGACTAAATTAACATGCTCAAAATAGAGAAGAAGCGTGAATGCCATATAAGTAATCACTTGATGAATCGTTACTTATCATAAACATTAAACTAACACCAGTCAAAAAAGGAATAATACCATGCAGAAATTCAAAGTTTGATGTTCATTATATGAAACGAAACTATTGAAACAAATACTCAAACTAGTTTGACTATTGGAATGATGGAAAACAACGTAAATCTACTGGGAATTGCATTGAAATTTGAAATCTCTAAGCTAAAGTGAGCAATCGTAGAGAAATTGAAAGTTTGAAAATTTGTTAGGTTTCATGTAGGGTTGGTCATGTGTTGAATGATAAAAAATTTTCCTTTTGTTCTCCTCTTCCATGCCTGCAACTCCCACTTTTTGCAATTATTAGAATCATGGGCAGTTTCTTGAAGTGGGACATCTTAACAGTTGACAGAGTCAAAATTCCTTTTAGATTTCACCACCTGTCCCATAATTAGTTAACTCACACCTATAATTGAAACCACTTCCTATATTTAAGCTAAAATATACCCAATTTGACTCAAATAGACAACCAAAAGATAAAATCTCATCTTTTTATCTTTTTTTTTTTCCTATGTGGTACCTGATCTATTATGGGACCTAGAATCGCATATCTAATATGGTTAAATCACCTCCATCCATTTAAAAATATTTGACATGTGGTATGATCTTAAATTTTTATAGTTTATGGTGTAAACATTGTTGGAACTTAAATATTTTAATAAAAAATCAAATTATATTTTTTATAAATTAGATTTATTGTTTTATTAAGGACTTAGTCAAATTAGCCATTATAGGTTAATTGCCTTAGTTAGGTGCACATTATTGCATAACAATTGCCTTAATTATTCTTATTATTAACCTACAAATGAAAGTTGCATGACCACGAGTCCTACAAATAAGACATGTCATTTGTTCAAAGAAGTGTGCTCCTCCACATTCTTCTATTTTTCTTACTTTACTTTATCTTTTAAATATTCTTGAGTAAAAAAAAGTGTTTTAAGTTAGGTGACTTTATGAGTAGTGCAAATTCATAGAATGTTTTTATAAAACTGTAGCATCCTAGGGGCAACATGCTATATATATCTCTACTACATCAATTGATCTATTTTTCGCAAATGTGTGAATTGTTTTAAAGTAAGTAAACTTTTTATGCCTATTTTGATGATATTTTCTTACTTATATTTTCTGATAAGTTCACTAATTATTATTTTATTTGATTTTGTGACCAAGGCACAACAATGACATGATGTGGAGATGAAGAAGAATGTTCTTGGAACAACAAACATGTCCAGAGTAATTTCTCCTAAACAAAGTGCTTTCCTACCTAATAGACTTAGTATCGACAATTTCCTTATAGCATATGAAGTTCTTTATTTGTCACGCCTCAGACCCTAGAGCGAAACAGATGTTGCACACTTGTTAGTAGGACCCACAAGAGCACCAGGCTCAAAACCAAGCTAGCTTACTATCCATAATCAATTACAATTAAATAAAGTCTATTAATACCTCCATTAATATTAAAATTTAAGTAATATTCAAATAAATCCTTCAAAGTCCAATATGTAGTAATTGAAAATTTAAATCCTTAACTCTCTAATAAGTCCAAAAGAACTAAATCAAATCTCAACTAAGTTCAAACCAACTCTAATAAGTATCTGTCACACACCTTGATCCCTGACGTCTCTAGTATCATTGCCTGAAATGGTGGATAAGGAAAAACGTGAGATATACTCTCAGTAAGTGAATATTAGGTTTCCCCATTTTATTTATAAATTTTAAAATTTAGCGTGCCAACAAATATAAATCAAGTATCAAGAAAACTGGTACAAGTATGGGAAATGAAATAGACGTCTTCTTTATAAGTCATGGCCAGCGTTTATAAACCTCTCACTAACTAGCACAAGATTTGTTAATGTATAATCCCACAAGCAGGATAACAAGTATAACAAGAATGAACTGGTTCCACAAATAACATGTCGACTTGTGCTAGCATTTATAAACCTCATATTAGCGAGCATAAGTAGAACATGACTATATTGGAGACTAAAACATGCTAGCAAGTGCATTTCAAGTAAATATATTTATTTTAAGAAAACATGTATTACAGGGATTAAGCAGCATGTATTAAGAAGAACCTTTTATGAATAAACCTACTTAACCAAATAAATTCCAACTTAAAATAAAATAAGATTTAGTCATGATAACTAAATCAAAATGGGTTCTTAATCTCGCTATTATCTCAAAATCGATGAAAATCATATTTTAAAATCATATTTAAAATTAAGGGCAAAACCATAAATTCACTTACCTTGAAAATGGAAATCTTAAATTTGAGATGTACAAATAATCAAGAACCTAAAATTTACATTGAATATTAATTAGCAACAATCTAGAATTATTAATTCTAATTTAGCTTAATAATATTTAATTTTATGAGATTCATATTAAATTTCCTACACAAGTGTTTGCACCTATTTATTGACTAAAATTGAGGGTGTTGACACCATTGCGTCAACCCTTAACCTTGCACATAGTGTCCATGTAGTGTGCCACATTGACAGCAACGGCCCCTTCTGCTTTTTTTTTTCTTTCATATTATTTTAATGGACCATTAGGTGTCAACACCTGATCTGTTACCAGCATTAGAGTGTCGACACTACTGAAAATCCCAAACCAATGAGGCAATGGCGTCGTTGCCACTCATCCTCGCATCACAACACTATAGCAACTTCTCGCCCTTTAGTTTCTACTAATTAACCAATAAATATATATGTATTTATATAATTTACTGTTAATTCAATAATCCTTGAGGTAAGACATAAAAACTCACTAGGATTTAAGATTTTGATGTCAGATCTGAGACGAAACCTTAATAAAAAGTGTAAAAAGAGATATGGAGAGTACAATATTGGGTTTAACAATAGAGATCTAAGGAAACATGAAAGGAGAAGAAATCAAGAGGAACAAATATACTCACCTGTAAAATCTTAGGGTTAAATTTTAGGAGAAGAAGATGACTAGATTTGGGAGAAGGTGTTTATTGTGTAAAAGCAAATTTATATTGAGAAGATAATAGGGTTAAGAGGCACACTTAATGTTTGTTTGAATTTATTTGAGGAAATAATAATTCCTAAATTAAAAGGCATTAATCTTAAATAAATCTTTAAATTAATTTGATTTAATGAGATAATAATGTCTTGAATTTTAAAATTATATCTGCTCATAATTAAATTTTAACCCTCTTAATAATAATAATTATGGGAAATTCCAAAATTATTCAGAGTATTACACTATTACATGTGCTCAAGACAAAAAAAGGAAGAGAGGCTGGGAAGTAATTAAGTTGGACATAAGCAAGGCTTTTAACTGGGTTGAGTGGTCATATCTTAAACAAGTTATGAGAGTGCTGGGTTTGGAGAAGGTTAAGTTTAGAGGATAATGGCTCATGTGACTTCTATCCAGTATGAGATAATGGTCATATCTTAAAAGAGATTTGCTTTAGGTCGATTTAAATCCCACTACCCCCTCAATAAATGTTGACACAGTGGTTTTAAGGACATGACAATTAAATCCAATGAACATTACATGTTTAGCAATAATCAACTGCCATGTGAAAAGTTTAGCAATAATCAACTGCCATGTGAAAAGTTTTTATTGGCCGTGGCAGAGGCATGGGTGCAATTAACGAAATACACATAGGCTAAAGAGTAAAATGAAAATACGAAGGGTTGCAAAAGGCATTTTGGCCATTTTTGCTTCCATTTAACTCTGTACGTTTTCATGTCCTTGTTTTGCCTTTTTCGCTTAAAAGTTAAAGATTTTTTGGTGAAAGAAAAACCGGCCAAGAAGAAAAACTAATGGGTGACATCTATAGAAATATAGCTAATTATGGAATTTTTTTAGGGAGTTACAAAAGCTTCGAGGTAACTAGGAAGAGCCAAAATAAGGGGTGGTTTCAGCCTAACCCATTACCATGGTTGTGTTGCTAGTGTTGCATGATAGGTTTGATGTCGATATGCCATTGGTATTTGAGAGCAGCCTTAGCTCTCCATCAAGTAAAGCAAGAACTGGTAAAGTAGATGAAGTTGAAAAGTACAAAGAAGCAGAACTGGCAACCATTGGTGCCACGGCAATAGTAAAGGTGACATTTGCGTTAGGAAAAAGGGAGAGAGTTCCCCTGCAAGGCAATTTGGCTACCAAGATCCAAGAAACACAAGCAAAGTTGGGTGCTGGATTCAAATTTAAGGTTGCCTTACACCATGAGGTGGTAGATAGCAAAGCCACCAACAAGGGGCTAAAGAAATTGGGGTTAGTTGTGTGGAGTACTAGATTCCTTCTACCATACTTGTTTGGGCTACCTCGACAAATGAACTAGTGTGTTCTATTGCTGCAAATAGTTGGATGCCTATATATTTGGACGATTTTGTAGCTGGCTTAAGATTTCCTTTGCCAAGGTTGCTTTTTGATGTGCTGGCAGAGTATGGCCTGGGGTTAACACAGCTTACCCTAAATTCAATAAAATTTATTGTAGGATTTATGTTGTTATGCACTATGTTATAGATACCTTCTAGGTCGATGGTATTTCATTCCCTTTTTTTGTGCAAGGTGGTATTACATCTCCAGATAGGATAAAATGATTTTTTTTCACAATGTAAAAAATAAAGTGGTATACTAGAAGAGGCAATTTATTTTGTATGTAACAAAGGGTTGAGAGAATTGATAACAAGCTCATTGTCTGTCTTTAAGAGTAGTGCTTTCCCAGCATGTACATGAATTATCCAACAATCGAGGATGTTGATGTGGAGCTGAAGAACAGAATATTATGCTTAGTTAAAGAACAAGGGATTGTAAATCTAGATGCCTTAGCTACCCCAAAGCAATTGGATGTGTTTGGGTTTGTGGATGCCACATCCACTAACCTCTATATCCTAGGTACACATTCTTCTGAAATTGAAACTTTTAAACTAATATGAGTCTTATTTATTTTTACTTGTGCATAGGAAATGGCTAGAGGTTGGAGAGGTAGCGTGAATGGGCATAGCACTTACGAGCTCAACATGGGGGTTCGAGCTTGCAAAGGTAGGGTTTGAGCTCATAAAGGTAGTCTTGCTTTGACAAGTAACTAGCTGGCCATTCTTCTCATAGTTTGTCCCAGTAAGAGAGAGTGAGCAATGGTTCAGCTATGAAAGATGTAGTTGAGTGACGAGTTGAGACAACACCCAATGAATCCCATATATGGGTAGATGAGGAAGGAGAGATTGCTCATGAGCTCGCTTTTACCTAGTAGTGAATAGATGTTGGGGTTGTTGCACGTTCTTCCGTGGTGACGCCTATTGCACCACCTACCACCACCATTGGTGGCATTGAGTCTAGTCCCTCACAGACATAATGGGTGCTCATATGATTACATACTTAGAAGGCTTTAGCTACACCAAAAAAGATTGCCACCTGGCTATGCTACAAGGTACGCACAATTTCATTCCTTTAGTTGATCGATAGCAAATAGGGGAGTTTGTTCACCAACATAGGGGAACATAACAATGATTAAGTTGCTGGATGTAAGTTATGGATTGTAAACATACATGTTTGTATTTTTATTTCTATGAATTATAGTAATAAGGCGAGCTGAATGACAAGCTTTTTATTACATGAGGGCTTTGTTTGAGAGTAAGATGGCTATCAGGATGGAAGTGAGGATGGTAGCTAATATGTGCATGTGCGCCATTTTGGAAAAGAGGAAGTTGTAGGAAGAAGTGAGTTGCTTGTAGAGTTCTAAGATGGCTAATCAAGTTGTGGCTGTAGAGAGTAAAGTAGATGAGCTCACCAACCAAGTTGTCAGACTAAAAGAGGAGGTGAAAAAGGTTCTAGTTGAGAAGGAAAGTAGCATTCTAGCTACTAAAAGGGAGGCTGAGTTGTAGCTAGCAAGTGTTCAACAAGAAATGAGGAGTGAAAGAGGAAACAAATTAGGTACATCATGAGCTGAGCACTTTAAGAGCAAAAGCAAATGAAGCTGACCGCATGGTGTTGCATGTCCAGGGTTTGTTGGACAACATGAGTAAGTCATTTCAAAACTTTATCAGCATAGCTTGAGCTCAAAGGGTGGACTGGTTTCTCAGGTTAGAGGCATTTCAGAATGCTGCTACGATTGCCACTATGAATAATATTGTTGAAATTTACAATGAAGTTCGTGGTAAGGTGTTGTAGCACTAACATAATTTTCTAATTGGTGAGCTAACCTTCATGGAGGGTGAGGAAGTGTATGAACAGAGGAAAAGCCTAGCTCCACCTTAAGACATTATTATGCACATGAAATAGAGCTTAGACGGAGAAAATGCTCCCTTGTTCCTTCCTACAATCTTTGATGAAGGTGAGGTGCTTGAACTTATGGTGATCTCCACTGATTGGGTGGTTGGGATGCCCCATTTGGAAGCTAGGACTATTCTCCTCTTGCTTGAGCAAACGCCTCATCAACATCATGCCAAGTGTTGATTTGATTAGGGAACAGGATGATTAGGCACATGATGTTAAACTTGGTTTTGTCTTTGGTTATATTTTGTAATTTTAATTCATGTTTCAAATTGTTGGGAAGAAATGTAATCAAATTGTGAAAATCGGAACATGAAATGAAAACACTAGAAACTTTCATAATTGCAATGTTTCAATTATAACACTTTAGAGTTGTACATTGGAACAACTTACAAAAGCATTGATTGCATTAGCTAACTGTAAAACTTTCATAAATTACTAATGTTCCATGTGAGTCATTGATGACCTTCAACATATTGCAAAACATAAAATCTAGGCCATTTGATAGTAATTGCTTTATAAGGGCCTTTTCAATTAGGGGTGAGCTTGCCCAAGAAAGAATATGCATTAGTGAACCCAGCTTTCCTTAAAAGTAGGTTGCCAACTTGATATTGGCAATTGTGGACACGATCATTATAAAGATTGGCGATAGGACCTTTATAAGACAATGATCGTAAATGAGCTGCGTCCTTGACTTCTTCGACCAGATCCAAATTCTCATGAAGTGCTTGGTCGTTAGTTACTTCATTAAAATGAGTTATTCTCAAACTCGACAAGCTTATTTCAATGGGAATGACTACTTTCATACCATAGGCTAAAGAAAGTGGTGTTTCATTAGTGGCTGAGATGGGTGAAGTTTTACAAGACTACAAAACATTATTTATCTTGTTAACTCAATTTGTTTGAGTGGCCATAATGCATGTGTTGAGGCCATGCAAGACAATATTATTAGGGACTTTGCCTAGCCATTCTATAAGGAGCATATACAGATGTGAGAATGAGTCGAATTCCAAAGTCATCACAAATGGTTTTAAGGGCTATAGCTCGAAATTGAGGGCCATTATCTGCTATGATGCATTGCGGAATGCCATACCTGTATAGGATAAGACGAGCTAAGTGCTTTTATATATATAAGAATATATGGTTGAGATATATCACTGTACCTGTATAAGACCAAGATGAATAAAAATTCCTCTACTTTTTTTTCAGTCGTGGTAGACAATGGTTTAGCATCTATCCATTTTGTGAAATAATTAACAGCCACAATAAAGTGAGTGTAGCCTTTTTTGCCTTTTATGAAACGACCAAGTAAATCTACTCCTCATTGGCGAATGGAGAAAAAGAAGTCAAGGAAGATAGTATTTCCCCTAATCAGTAATGAGAAGCACACTCAATTTTCATAAAAGTTATAATTAAGTTGATAAAACTTAACTATGATCAAGCTAAGGTACCTAGCATGTGGATTTCATTGGCATTGAATTGGCAGGTTGGACATTTTTTGACATAATTCTAAGCATCCTCAATCATTTGAGGCCAGTAATACTCTTGCCTTAGAATTTTTTATGCCAATGGTTTGCCACCAATGTTCTACCACCAATGTGCATGCCACAAACTTCTTCATGGACTTTTCTAATAGCATATTCAGCTTCCTAAAGAGTGGGCATCATAATAAGGGCATGGACATTGCTTGTTTACATAAATGACCATCAATCAAACAAAAATAAGCTACCTTGCATTATATTAGCTGAGCTTCAAACTCATCGTTAGGTAGAGCACCTAATTGTAAATATATAAATGAAACTTGCCTGTAACATTTTACTTATCTCTTCATCTATTGCTGCTTGTTTTTTAGGACCAAAAAGACGGCTCTTCTACACCACTGGCCTCCTAATAGTATCTATATTGAGCTTATGGACGACAAATTTTGTTGAGATACTAAGTATTTCATCAACTATCCAAACACTGTCCAAGCAAAAACATCTTTATTCTTCCTTAAAAAGTTGAGGAGTTCATCCCTTTCTTCCTTAGTGAGGTGAGTTCCTATTTTAACTGTCCAATGTGGGTTATTTGAGTCCAAAGGAACTGTCTCTACTAGTTCTACTGGTTCAACTTTCTACTCTATGTTTTTTGGCTAATGATCAATATCATATATGCTCATAGTTTGTAATCTAGGTTGGTTGGTATGTTAGGGTTAAGAAGTTAAAGCTTGTGAACTTGTAGCAATCTCAACTTTCTTAAGGGTATCATAGTAACAGCTTCTAGCCATCTTTTGACTCCTATGCAGAATGCTAATTCCATTTAAGGTTGGGAATTTCATGCATAAATGTGGTTAAGAAGCTATTACCTCCAGCTCACATAATGTACCTCTCCTAATAATTGCATTGAAAGTTGATTCCATTTTCACTATAAGAATGTTCACAAAGGCCATGCTGTACCTTGGTTTAGTTCCCACATAGATTGGTAAGGTGATTATTCTTTCTATTGGAATGGGTTGGTTATCAAATGCATAAATTACATCATCATATTTTTTCATTTAGGTGGGATTTAGCTTAATTTTTTGAAAACATTCCTAGTACAGGATATTTGGAAAACTACTTGTATCAATAAAGACTTTGTTTACATTATGGTTGCCTATGTGGATGGTAGCCACAAAAGAATCGACGTGAGGCATGATGACATTTGGTTCTCCATCTGATCATTTATAATCATATGAACTAAACATAATGGGTGCATTTTCCCACTTAACTTCCTTAAAAGGTCACTTTAAAGGTCCATTCTTGTTTAACGTCATCACTTGATGACCATAAGCTTTACGACCTCAGGCACTTTAACAACCTGCATATAATCCACCCGATGTCATGTTTATTGTGCCTGCTTGTAATACCCCAAAATTTTCTAGAACAATTAAGTGAGTTAGGGAACTAATTGTGAGAAAATAATATTGTTGAGCCTAATCACAAAATTTTCAAATTTTGAGGGACTTAAAAGAGGAAAGAAATTGGATAAGGATGGTTGATTTTTTTTCTTCTTTCCTTCTTTCTTCAGCCACCCGATTCTGCTCTTTTTCTTCTCCCCTACACCAAACAAGAAACCCAGCCAAGCCCGACATCATCTCCACTTGAAAAAAAGGGTAAGAAAAGCTTGATTTTTCTTCTTTTCTTGTTCAAGAACAAGATTTAAAGCTTAGAAACCTCCCCCCCTAAGGAAATGTCCAAATCTGCTCTACTCTGTTGTGTGGGGGTGATTTTCTCCAGTTTCTGGTAAGAAACAGCCACCAATGCCTCTTTTCTTTCTTGAATTGGCTTCGGTTTACTCTAATTTCTCTTGGTTCCTCCCAATTTTTGGGTAGATTCTCAAATTTTCCCTTGCACTTCTCGTCGGCAACTCCCCCAATCTGTAGCTTCGGTATGCTTGTTGGATTTCCTAGTATGTGACAGCTTTATTTAAGTCCAAATTACCGTTAGTTGCTGAATTTTGTCCGTTAATTTGGTGCCTCCATGATGTCCCAAAATTCTACAGAAAAAGGGATGAATTTTGGTAGCTTTAAGACAAAATTTAAACATTAATTCAAGTAGAATTTATATGATTGAGTGTTAATTAGCTGCTGTGAGTTTCTGGAGAAAAATCCCGTGAAATTAGTTATTGTTTTGCCAATTTCTGGAAGTTGTAGTTACTGTTCACTACGTAATTACTGTTCACGGATACTGTTCGCACACTAATGGCCAACAATAAGAGGATTTAAATGTTTAGTTTATACTGAGAATAAAATTGAGATGTCTGGTCATATGTTATTAATTTTGGAATATTTTGGTTAGGTTCTTGATTGTTCTGTCACCCTAGCACTTGGAGTGAATTTTCTGTGTTATGTGACTGAGGTAAGTAAATTATGGCAACACCCTTTGATTTCAAAGTAAAAGCATATTTTAAATTATTTTTGAAATGATGGCAAGGTCTAAATTGATTTTATTAGCACTGAGTATGATTGGTTTGAAATGGAATTATTGTCATTTTCATTGAATAGAGCATGCCTACTTGGAATTCACTTAACTGCCCTGATGATCTGAGAATTTTGTAAATTTTGATTTTTCTGTTAAATCCATGCCCACATGAAATTTTTTCGATTTATTCTTGAAATTTGAGATTGATTGTGAATTATGGAATTTCTGTAAATCTTGCATGGTTTTATCTCTGATATGGTTATGTTTTACTGTGCTTGCTGGTGGGAGGTTTATAAACGCTAGCACATGTTGACATGTTTACCGATAGGATCGGTTCACACTGAAATCCTGCCAATGGGATAATACATTGGTT